AAAATAAAATATATCTGTAAAAACAATAACAAAGTCTTTTCTTTACCGACGCGTTTCGTTCCTCAAGGACCTTTATTAAAGTAAATGTAGAGATTTTATTCTATAACGTTTATTTATACACAGAAGTAAAGGGGATAAATAATGTCGTTAAGTTTTCTTCTTCTAAATTTGAGAACGCACCAATGGTAATGGTAGTAATAGCCGTTTCCCAACAAGGAAATATTTGGAAGTCATTGACTGAGAAGCCAATACAGCTTTCAGTTGAAGTTTCTAAAATCTTTCTCCCAAAACAATTTTGCAGGAAAATAAACTTGTCAAGTTTAGTAGCTTTTATCGCTCTTTCCACTATTAATAGGAGTTTCCTTCCTAACATTTTATTTGAAAGAGTCTGACATATCATTATTTTCTCTTTGAGTTACATGTACTATCCATTTTAATCATTGCTGCTATTGGTAGTCCACAAGCGATGTGGTTTCAGTTATTTGGTACACTTCTTTAGATTTGATTCTGTATTGCCAGTCCACAATATTAAAAAAGGATGATCTTTGGCAAGTCTAAAACATTCTTAAAGCTATCTGTGTAAGGAAAGGCAAACTATGGATGACGCTAAGTGACAAAATTTATTGTCTAATAAACAAAAGTGAGTAAATGTTGTTGTATTCATATATATATATATATATATATATATATATATATATATATATATATATATATATAGATAGATAGATAGATAGATATAGACGTAGATATATATTTTTAATATAATTATTATTATATTTTATATCGATAAGTTATTTATGTATTTATTTTTTTTATTTTTCAAAGTCTTATCCGTTTTATTTATTTTTCAAAATTTTCTATGATCATGCAATTTTGGCTTGGGGAAAAAGTATTTCTTTTAAGAAAGTAGATATTTGAAAAAAATCAGAACGTAAATTAACGTTTTGGCAAAAATCGATAATTGCACTCTCAATAACTTTTCGTCAAAGTAAATTATTTTCTCTTTTAATAAGTGTAGCATTCTTGAGATCGAAGTTGTGGTTGAAATTACATTCATTAGAACGTTCCATAGTTTATCTTTCCTTACATAGTATATTTTAAAGCGTTCTTAAATTTAAAATTTAAAATCTTCACAATATTTTTCCCCCACTTCTGTTTTAAGAATACAAATTGCAAAATAAAATCACTACATTTACCTTGATAAAGTCCCTCAGGAGACGAAACGCATTGGTAAAGAAAAGTTTTCCTTTTTCTCTCTCTCTCTGTCTCTTTACACACACACACACACACACACACACACACATATATATATATATATATACATATATATATATATATGTATGTATATATGTATATGCGTGTGTGTGTGTGTGTGTGTGCAGAAAGCATTACTTTGACGTATTGGAATAATCCCCAAGGAATTTTGAAAATACACAACACAAATCAAATCCAATAGGGTTCAGCTGAATATGAGTTTTGCCTCAAACGAAATGAAAGAAACGCTATTCTGTATAGATTCCGTAGACAGTAGCTGTACAGTACCACGTGGCTGCCTCATGAGTGTAGCACGCATAGCAGTCGACCTTATCATCCCAAGCACATCGACTTCCGATAGTTGCATCTTGGTCCTTATTTTCGCCCATGACAACGAAGCAAACGATTTTATAACGGTCAAAGTTCAGCGCTCGGACACAGTTGCGAATTTCTTCGCTGAGAAGCATGCACTGACGGCCGCCGATTCGGGGTGCGTACTCAAAATTCGTCAGTTGTTCTGTGAGAATTCGTTTAATTATTCCATGAACGACGGACGAACAGAACTTCCGCGTGGGTTCCATTCGATATGTGGGCTCTTTACGAACGAGCGGCAATCCGGACACAGATCTCGAAGATAATCCCATGAGTCCTCTTTTCTTTTCGAAAAAGCGGCTGGAAATCTTTTTGGCAAATCTTTTCGATGCGAGGAGGCCCAAAAAAGACGGTCCATCGCCAGAATCCCTGGTTCCATCGAGCGAATGATGGAGGCTACGCCTTCTCGGTCCTTGTTCGTTCCTTTGGCCAATGATTGGTGCCGATTTTTTGCTGGTCAATGAGATCGTACTGTCCGAACTCATCATCGAAGTCTGTCGAAACATCGTTTTGCTTACTCTTCGAGAATCTGGTTTCGATGACGTTTATATAAGTAAGAACTTTAAAAAAGTGAACTTATTCAGTTATCGCCTATCTCACTTCTTTTTTTTTTTTTTTTTCGTTTTCTTAACGAGTCCGTATTACCAACAATATATATATATTGCTGACATCCAATAATTTAACAAATTCTGGTCTTCATAAAATATTTTTTCACTCCCACCTTTAGAATCACAAACAGTTTCTTTAAAATACACACAAATATATTCAGTTTTTAGAACTTCTGTAACGTTTATGATACTAGTACACCTCTTTTAAGTTATCAATTATGTTTCCACAAGAACTTTAATCATCCGTTTTCCGTGGCGTTAATTAACACGCACATATGTTAGACGAATACGTATATATATATTTGAAGTTGTTCTCAATTTGTTATGTTGACTCTAGCAAAATCAAGTACAAACAGCTACTAAACGCATACCTTAAGGTACGCCCTACAAATAGTCGAGAGCCGAGGTTTTTTTTTCCAATTTAAATATTAGGGCGGGTTAATTTTCAGATAGTACGATCCTTATTTGTGCTGAAGGCTAACAGCCATTGGTTAGGGACAGCTTGACGTTTAGCGTTTAGTAATTACGTCACGACAATTTTGCACGTCTACAGAGATTTTTTTTATTTATTTATTTAGTTTCGTCTTTGAAAACAACTATTGTCGACTGTTTCTCAGTAACTATCAAGGTCAGTTGTCAGTCAGTCAATCATTAACGATTGTATCTCTTTTCTTTCTGGCTTTTGTCGACATTTAACCAGCCAAGAAACTGTTAATCCGTCCAACTCTTTCTTTATTGTACTTTCTATGTATTTTATCTTTGTTTTCACCAACACTAAGTTAAGCCAGTCACCGACCATTAAATCTATTTTGTTTATAATATTTGTAGTAAGTTACATCCCTTTTTCTTTTTTTTCTTCTTCTTCCTTTAAGTCGGCCATTAAATAATCAGTTCGTCTGTTTCGATCTATGTTTTGCTTATTTCTTATAATTTCCTTCTTTTTCCTGTTTTATCATCCGGTCATTTTTTTTTTTAATTTGTTGTCCTTATATCAGCCATTATTCTCTTCCTTTCACTCCATCACAAACCTCATTGGCCTCTTACGGCGACTAAGACTAATACAATTAAATTGTTCCCTCGCTTTTCGAGTTTTATGACAGGGACACATTAACATATGAAACGTGGTTGGACACTCCCACACACTAAAATCAAAGATCAGCTTACTCGCCAAGCAAATGGGGACCCAGGCTTGTCGATTAAGCTGTTACTTAAATTGTCCAGTTTTAATTTATTTTTCACGATGTCAGACATTTTGATTAATGCAGACAACCGGTGTCGCAGAAGAGTAAAAATAAGAACAACAAAAATAAGTAGCTTCAAAAAAATTATTATTATTATTTCGGTTAAAATGAATGAGTTGGGTACATTTGTTTACAATAATATACATTCACTTGCTTGTAAACATATTCTCTCTCTCTCTCTCTCTCTCTCTCTCTCTCTATATATATATATATATATATATATATATATATATATATATATAGGTATTGAATAAATCAAAATTCGTGCCTGAAGAGTCGGTAGAACAACGACACTTTAAGTTACACTTGAAACGCAAATATATGCATATTTATTAACACACACACACACATACATATATTTCGCTCTTGAAAATATATTTCAGTTGAGCACTGTTGAGTGGTAAGCTAATTCTGTAAACAACAGCCACTTGCGCTAATGCAAAGCTCTTCAGTAAAATGAATGGAGCACTTCGGCTGATTGGCATTTGTTTACATTCGTAAAAACAATAAGCTAGATTTAGCCGTGTAACTCTACCGAGTGAAGATAGCTCAGTCATAGAAGTTGGGTTTCGATCCTGGCTTGAGACATTCAGATGTCTAGTCACACTGAGGAGCTGTGATACAGCGAAACAGTACTGTCTGCGAATGTTATATATATATATATATATATATATATATATATATAAACATAAAAATGTCTTAATATCAGGTGATCCCATAAGTTCTGTCTGAATTTTAACTTTTTGTTAAAATGAACGAAATTTAAAGAGTATTTTATAATGTCTAATGGAGCTGAACATTATTTTTATGTTTAGATGCATTTAAACTGATCAAATTTTATTTCAGAGAACAATAAAATTAAATTTTGTTTGATTAAAACCCTGCTAACATGGAAGTACCCAAGAATCATTTGAGGCACATGATGCTTTATGAGTTCAAGAAAGGAAACTCAGCAGCCGAAGCAGCTAGAAACATTCACCCAGTTCATGGAGAGGAATGTGTGAATGAAAGAACTTGCAGAAGATGGTTTGCAAAATTCAGAGGTGGAGATTTCACCCTTGAAAATGAAGATCGAACCGGACGTCCAGTAGAGTTTGATGAAAAGCTTCTTGAAGCAGGCCTTGAAGAAAATCCTGCTTTATCAGTTGAGGAATTGGCAGTGGTTGTCAGTTGAAACCATACAACTGTTCATCATCATCATCAACAACTTGGAAAAGTTCCTAAACTTGGAAAATGGGTGCCTCATGAATTATCTGAAAACAACCTCAAATCCCGAGTTGACATCTGCTCTTCTCTCTATTCTCGCCAACTTCTTTCACCTTTTTTGGATAGACTTGTGACTGGCGACGAAAAATGGATCTTTTATCGAAATGTTAAGCTTCGTAGACAGTGGCTTGGTAAAGGGGAAGGACCCCAGCCACAGCCGAGAAGGGAACTTCATGGGCAAAAGGTTCTTATTTCAATCTGGTGGGATCGCCAAGGAATAATCCACTTTGAATTCTTACCACCTAATGCAACAATTAAT